GTAAGGTATTCAGTTCGTTCATAAGTCTAGCCAGAACGCTATGACCAGAAAAGCTTTCTGTTCGTCCTACTTTGGTGGGCAGGTATCCCAGTTCCATCTCAATTGAAGTGGAATAACACTGTCCCCCAGAAGATCCAGCCTAGACTGCTGCAGGCCTCACGGCAACTGCATAGTTGCGCAGCCAAAGAGCAATATAGGCGATGGGATCCTTTGGTCGCTTATCGGCAACTTCGGTCAAGGCTTCCGGCAGGCAAGTCTCTAAAGAATAAACATTAATTAGGTTAGATGGCCAAATATACGAATGGTGTCAGCGAAGCCTGAGCTATCTTTTGTTATATGACGGCTAGCTTGAGCATAAGAAGTCCGAAAACCCTGAACATTCGCTGGATGTGTGTCATTTGACGGGCTGACTGGATGCACTACTCTCGTGTTTCATGGGCCCGGATCAGTGAGGGGTGAAAGGAGCCAGCCTTTAGTTTCTCTTTGTATATCAACTTTAATACTCCATAATGTTATTTGAATAGGGCTAATCAGCTTTATTAAGGAATAGCATACAGGCCAACACAGTACATTCACCATATACCTCGATCTCAGCATCGATAGGAACTCTAATCTTAAAGAAAATATCACTTATTCATCCTTGCAACATAATTGTATCATTGCAGTTATTATTTTCCTCAACTAGAAGCCATGGCTTGACCAAGTATAGAGTTTGTTTGAGTAGGTTCTAAGACCATTAGTATTGCTTTAATAGGAGCATAGTCAGCCTAGGTTGCTTAAGGTGATTTAAGTTCTGATATGTGTGGTATGACTATTTATATCGAATGGAAAGTTGGTTGAAAGGAATTCGTGATGTGGTCGCACCTGAATCTGAAGGGAGGATTATCGAGTAAGGAAGACTGTTGAATTGTGAGAAGAAGTCCTTATCTCACCTTCCTGCGACCTCGATGAGACTGTGCTAAGCTTTCGTCTGTACTGTGACAGACATTATCAGAACAAGATTCCATACTTTACGAAATACTAAGTCAAGAGGAAAGGTGGCCGGCTGCAACCCTAGTTTTTTATACACTTAACTTCGCGACTTTAATGATACTTCAACCTTACTCTACATGCTTGCAAATGAGTGAAGTAAACTTCCCGAACCGTAAATGCATTCGGTTCAGCAGCTGCTTCATCACACAAAAACTAGAGTACGATCGCCTAATGCTGAATCATGTTTGGGCTTGTGCTATTGTCTATT